AACCCAAAGTAAAATTTTACTCAGGGTGTTTGACTTCAGCAAACTTTTGAAAGATGAACGCTTTGGAAGATTCAGCAAACACAGATCGATAGTAGACCTTCAACAAACTCTTGAAATATGTACGCTTTACTTTTTATTCAGCAAACTTTTAAAAGATGAACGCTTTACGAAGACAGAATAGCAGACCTCAGCAAACGTTTGAAAGATGAACACTGAGGACACACAGTTCACCAAAGTAAGGCAAAACGTAAGCAAGCGCCTCAAAGAGAGGCAAATATGTGTCGACACAAATGCAATCTCAAAAAACCTCGCTTATTGATTGCACAGGACACCCAATAATGCACAAAACACCTCGAACGCAATAATTAAGTATACCGTTATCAAGTGGTGACATGGTAGTGTTGAGTGGCTTTGGCAGAAAACCGGATATCAGTGTCGACTTGCATGAATGGCTATGACTATTACTATACTGCTCCAGGGTTTTTATTTGTAGCTGTCTTAATGTCTCACGCAAAGAAGATTGACAAACAGAAACGCAAGAAAATCAAGAAAATATCACCTGGGAATTTATTACTATTATAATAAAAGCTGTAGAAAATATGTACCGAAATTTGTTTGTGTCTGACCGACAATAGGTCCATTGAGGGCAACATTAAATAATAAAATATGTTTGTAAAAATGGAGTATTTTCCATCTTTAGGTGGATAATTCCGGATAATAAAGATATATAACTGAACGGCTGTCAGGCTCATTTGAATTAAGAGACCAAAATTAGTTTCCTCATAAAGCCTTCTTAATCTCTTTCTGACACTCAGCTTCTCATTTCTTGGCACTTGACAAATTTGCTAATACCTTTAACTTATTTGGCTGCGTTAAGAAGGAGAGGGAGAACATTTATAACTCTGGAAATCAAGCAATTTGCTTGCAGCATAAAGGTACACCTATTTCTTAGCTTGAAAATTACCTGAAATATTATTGAAGTTTGTGACAAGATGCTACATTTCCCTCTCATGTAATATTATTAAGACCGTGAAGTAAAACCATTTTTAAAGCTAGCCTAGATCTACCCTTTCTATTTTTTCATTTACCTTGAAACTCTCGTACAAATATATTATTTGTAAAATCATTTTATGGCATTTCCTACAAGAGACGCCTCCTTAAACGTTTATCAAGCAAAAAAAGTCACCTTGAACAGTGGCTTCATCTTTTTAATCTATGTATGCAAAATATCTCTTACTAGTACAAGGCTTCCTTTGAATATGCTTAGGTTTCTTTTTATCCTATTTATAGTCAATATTTCGTTAACAACCCCTACGATAAGTAACGTAAACATGAGAAGCATTTTATTATGCGTTTGGAAAATTTTATCATAGAAAGCTAAAAATAATCGCTGGAGACCCTGAATAAGCAATACTTCTGGTGAGTTTGACACTATTTTTTTTAAAAATAAATTCCGTATCATACTTTTGGGTATTTTAGGATTAACATTATCAACCGATTGTATCACCACTTTTTTCCGATCCCAGCCTATCAGGCCATAGATAAAAGAGCTTTTTAATTCTGAAAGTGTGGCTGCGTGGATTGAAATTTATAATATTCTCTTATCCGGCGTTAGTTGAAAACCAATATCAACATCTTCTATGACTTTATAGTAAAATAACACACAACGCGTAAGAACTAATCTAATGGTGCTGATGTATTTAAGCGGTATCTTTAAATTACTCTGTAGTTCGTTCTTCCCCGACTTAGCATTTTGGGGTTATTTTATGTCCATAATGGAACAGAGTAATTCTTACGTTTCCGCAGTAGAATTAGTCTGAACCTGAGGCTATATCCCCACGCGTCTGTTAGCGAACTTTTGCTTTTACAGCTGTCAGCACCAAAACGATATTCATCTCCTTTACGAACTTATCTTCTCTTAAGACTGTTTAAGAAAGATATTGTGAAAATTAAAAGTTTATAATAATGAATACAAAGTTTGTATGCGTTTACTCGGTTTGCAAACTTGAAAGGATTGAAGAGGATATAATCTGAGAGCGGCCAACAACACTTACTAAGACTGGACCTAAATAAGAATTGTGAAAATAATTCTCATAAATCTAATAAACATTGAACTTTTAGATCTTTAAGGACAACAGTCAGAAGCTGCCTTGGGAATGGTTACAGCAAGCAATTAGAAATAAATCCTATATTACTTATTTTTTTCATACTCAATGTCTGCTATGAATTCATTAAAATCTTCTCTCCGTTTGCCGTCATGGTGGGCTATAAATCTTTTAGAGATATTCCTGCCTATACTTTGGGCATACTGAAACCCTTATAATTTTATCTTAAATTTCTTCTTCGCGTCGCTTGCCACCAGTCGCTACCGGAATATTGAATAGCAAATTTCTGAAGGAGNAATGGAACAGAGTAATTCTTACGTTTCCGCAGTAGAATTAGTCTGAACCTGAGGCTATATCCCCACGCGTCTGTTAGCGAACTTTTGCTTTTACAGCTGTCAGCACCAAAACGATATTCATCTCCTTTACGAACTTATCTTCTCTTAAGACTGTTTAAGAAAGATATTGTGAAAATTAAAAGTTTATAATAATGAATACAAAGTTTGTATGCGTTTACTCGGTTTGCAAACTTGAAAGGATTGAAGAGGATATAATCTGAGAGCGGCCAACAACACTTACTAAGACTGGACCTAAATAAGAATTGTGAAAATAATTCTCATAAATCTAATAAACATTGAACTTTTAGATCTTTAAGGACAACAGTCAGAAGCTGCCTTGGGAATGGTTACAGCAAGCAATTAGAAATAAATCCTATATTACTTATTTTTTTCATACTCAATGTCTGCTATGAATTCATTAAAATCTTCTCTCCGTTTGCCGTCATGGTGGGCTATAAATCTTTTAGAGATATTCCTGCCTATACTTTGGGCATACTGAAACCCTTATAATTTTATCTTAAATTTCTTCTTCGCGTCGCTTGCCACCAGTCGCTACCGGAATATTGAATAGCAAATTTCTGAAGGAGGTGCGCGGATTGACATGAAGTTAACAAACGAGTCCCTCTTCTATACATAGCGATCCCATATCTTGTTGAATGTACGAGTTTTGCTCTTAAGTTGATGTTTGAGGGTCTGTTTAATAACACTTTGTGTTTAACAATCAGATCATGGCATAAGAAAAATGAAAAAATCGTGTTTCAAGCGTAGAATAGCGAAAATATTTTTTAGTTCGGCCCAACAGCATTGGAGCCAAAGACCTCAGTTTACTGACATCGGTTGGGCTATCTATCCACTGAACTAAAGAGAGTCTTGTGAACAGCAAGGCCATGCATTTAATAGGACACATTTTAAACTGGGAGGCCAGCGCATATTTATCTACAAGCATTTCAGCTAATATTTGAAGTGACGGTTTTCTTGCACGACGTGCTTAAATATTAATAATACAGCTAAAAGTTTCTTTTTCAAATGCGAACAATTTTTTTCAATGCAATTCAGTTACCCACGCGACTTTTGACAGGATAATTACTTTCAACGCGACAGGGCAGTCTGTAAATGATTTTAGCTGGCTCGTTTGACTTCGTCAATTTGGCGAATTTTGAATGGAATTCCTAATGCTTTTAATGCTGTCTTATTTACTGCTGTCACTTCTGCATTTAACGGTATCATAACAGTGTTAAAATGAAATAACATTAAGTATGCATTTACTAGCTATCGCGACCACCAAATAGCGTTAATGATGCCGTTGGCAAAAATCTGAAAAGAATCCGATGACAGTATTTTTTCTAAACTCAAACATTTAGAAACTATTGAGTTGAAATACATTAAGACCGTTCCACTTCCTTCCTATTAACAAGACCAGAAAGCGCCATCCTCGCTATACCCCGCGCCCTCACTTGGTTATCTCTAACAATTTTTTGCTGAGGTCTGAAACCCTGACTAAAAGCTACTAAACAAACATTCATTCATTCATTCAGTTATAGTAGACACTTCCTTTTAAACAACACATCCTTTTAAACAATTAATTACTTCCCGAAAACTGATGCTGATGCTACAGTTTGGTTTTTTCTATATTTTAACCAGTTTACGTCCAACAACCTAATACATCGTCTCCAATTTCATTTTAACATGTATTCAGACACGTAAAGATTACGCGATAATTGAAATCCACCTCATTTTATCTTTTATTAATGCAGGAAAGTACATCCTCACACAATTAATGCAACGAATGAGAACCACTTTCAAAACCCTGGCGAAACGAGGTCGCAGCTTGTGCAGATTGAAAACAGTTTATATGTAATAGCTTGCGACTACATGTAGTCAGAGCATATGAAACAAGCCTAAAGTTTTCCCTGCGTTTGGCTTCGGTTTCACGCAAGATGCTGGCGCTTCGATCAATATTTTTGTCTCAGCATATTTTCCTTTTATATTTTTGTCTCAGTATATTTTCCTGGATGTTGTAAATCTCTCTTAGTTTCCTTCTAAAATGTCTTAAAATGTATCAGTTCAAGAAAGTGGCATCCCCACACGGCCTGTCTTGAATAGCTTATGCTAAATATACGTAGTGTGTATGTCTTATGTATTTCATTGTTGTTTTTAACTTAAGTGTGGTCACTTTTTGTATTGCTTGCGAACAATTTGCGTTTATTTGCGAGTCCATATGGCTTCTTGAGGTGAAACTGAAATCCTGCTTGACCAGGGCTTAACTTACACTGAAAATGTTTTCAAGAGCTGCTAATTTATCCCTGATTATAGAATAAATGGTTTTGAACAGTTTACATGTATGGTGAGGCCACAGCACAGTAATTGTAATTTTCCATTCTCTCTTTCTTCTTCTTTTCATTTCATTTCATATTTTTAATTTTTAATATATATTTTTGTATTAAATTTTCAGCGTTCAAACCGTGGGATTAATCTGGGAAAAAGAGTAATCATCAATGCATATTGAGTCCAAAAAATCTTAACCCCAAGGTCCCGTAAGGCCATTGCCTCGAAGCCTTTGATGAAGAACGACATTGCTATGAACACAACAAACCCAAGGCAAAGCTTTCCAGTGGCATTCCACGTAGGGGCAGCTACTTTTACAGTCATCCTAGTTCTTGGCACCATATTTGGCAATGTCCTCGTCATCGCCGCATTTTCACTACACTTGCGCATGCGTACTGTGACGAACTATCTTGTGGTGTCTTTGGCGTGTAGTGATCTCTGCGTTGCACTATTCTCCATGCCGGTGTGGACGGCGTACCTACTAACCGGACCCATGTGGGTACTTGGAGAAACGCTATCACGTGTTTGGACCGTGATTGACATATTGATGGGAACAGCATCAATAATGAATCTCATGGCCATAAGCTTTGATCGATATCTCTGTATAACAAGTCCTTTACGTTATCTGGAATTGATGACTACACCAAGAGTGATTTTCATAATCGCTTGCGTTTGGATTTATTCGTTGGCTATTGCTATTGCAGGCTTTATTCTCTACGATAAGCCGATCTTTATGCTGGTTGAAATGATCCTGTGCTTTTGCATCCCACTGGTGGTTATAATCATCGCGTATTCGATTATCTTTAAAGTGGCACTACGTCACATAACACAAATACATACTGCAATGCCTTCGCATAACCATAACAGTCACAACAGCTTCATGAAAGAACTTAAAGCCGCTAAGACACTAGCAGTGGTCGTTGGTGCTTTCGTGATCTGCTGGGCACCCTTTGTTACACTTAACGTGATTTACAGCTTGTGCAGTCCTATTCTGGGCTGCCCCTGCCCTGTTATTAGTCCAGAAATTATCCTTGCTACAAAATGGATGCACTATGGGAATTCGCTGCTAAATCCACTAATTTATACGTTCACAAACAGAGACTTTAGGACGGCTTTCAAGGCCCTGCTGTGTTCAAGAAATCGGTCTTTCCTAGAATTGGGGTTGTCTGCAGGTCCAAGGAGAACTGCTGAGGCTAATAGCCTTCCGATGGCATAGATGGAAACTGCAGAGGACTTTCTCTTTTGATTTATTTTTTTATTGATTGGAGAGGAAACATTTTTAAAGGGCGGTATCACTTACTGGGATGACATTTAAAATTTAGTACTAATATACTTGAAAACCCAACAATACCGTGATTGACCATTAGTATCGATCCGGTCAGGCTACTTAGTAACAGTTATTACTACGAACGGTAAAAACCCGCGACTAAGAGCCTGCATTTTCTCAAGTTACCCTACACAGGTTCTTACAAAAATGGTAATAGCAAAGAATCAGGATTTGGTAGGTTTATAAATAGGCTTTTATTTTCTGAAGAAAAAATACATTGAAGCTAAGAGTGTTTAGTGGTATTCAACTTATATTCCTTACATAAAATCTGCATACCATTACTTTGCAGTTGGAGTGGTAAGACACCTATGTCTCCAAATAGGATTCTGAATGTTGACTTAATATCTTATTTGCTCAAGGAAGCAGAATTTATTTTAGAAATATTTGAAAATAAGAACCTTTTTCAAATTTTAGACTAAACAGGTTCGCGTATAGAGGGTTCTTAGTCACGTGTTTCTGCAAGTATACGTACAAGTGTTCAAAGTTGTCATTGATTTCGGGCGAATAGGAAGCAAGTAGACTGAGCCGGCATACAGGAGGCAGCGTGGCCGAGTGGTCAGCGCGTCGGACTCGCAATTCCGCGGTCCCGGGTTCGAGTGCCGCTCTGGCGACTTGCTGCACTTGTACTCGGTCGTCCCGAGTTCAAATCCTCGGCTTGTAGCCAACTGGCTGCCTCCTGCGAGTTGAGGTCATTAATCCTGTTATGTTATGTTTAAATTATTTGTTTCTAAGTATTTAAATGGAGTGCCTGTAAACTAGCTGGATAGGCTAAGTGCATTTTCCACATAAACAATCCTTTAAACCGTTTTTTAAACCTCTTTTTCTACATACTCCTTTTAAAATATTCGGCAATTCAGATGATTTACAATCACGTTTACGGGAAAAGGTAAACGTCAAATTCATGTGATGGTAATTTTTCAAATTTACAAATCAAACAGGTGCAGATAAAAGCCTGTGCAGAATTTTCCTTACCTATGATCCTGACACAAAACTACTTATTTTTCGTGGAGATACAGTGAACAGTGAACGACAGTAATGGGAAAACTTTGTCACTTGGTACAAAAAAAACGCATTAACTTTTGGCTTTTTCCAAGGACATGATTTTGAATATCTTTATCGTTATTTGGAAAATATCGCACGGGTTCACAATCAATTACCATTTGTTCTATAGTTGGGTACTGAATTGGTCTCTTTCTGTCGGTTCTACAAGGACAAGAGAGGCCAGATGCTTTAACACGGCGATTTGGTGCACCAGAGAGAGGTCAAAGAGCTGCCCTTATTGTTCTAGCAGAGTTTACACCTTTGAAAATTCTTGTAGAATGTCAGTATACAGTCGCAAACTCTTGTGATACTTCCCTTTAAGAGATTATCACTGCATTTTTCTTTTTTTACCAGTAGGCTAGTATTTAACGTTTTCTGATTGAAAAACTGTGTCGATTTTGGAAACCAAGAAATCGGCGAATTAAGTTGGTGTAGTTTGCAAGCTAAAAATTACACCTTGGCTGAGGAGGACTATACCATCTAATTACGAGATAGAACTCACTTAAATATTTGACTCTTAGGATGACCACCAAATAGGTTGTTGAAACGTTGTCACTGTCGACAGTCCTACTTGGGACTACATCAACCTGGACGATCATGTTCCACTTCACAGTTTCCATGACATACCACTTGGGCTCAAACCAGTCACTATAACTGTCCTTATTATAGTTCGAACTCTGTGTCATTAATACATGTAAAAACTCTTTGGAAGATATTTAGGATATTGGATATTAAAGTTAATGCTCATTTCAGGTCACATAAAGGAATCGCAGATTCTACAGACTTGCGGTTTGCACGAGCTTCTCGCTCACCAGACCATTCAGTTACCATTCTTTCCTGAAGGTTTTTAGATGACGTCACCAAAATTCAAACTACGAAACTATCGATTCCTCTGAGTTTCTACTTTACAGCACCTAAAAACCTTTATATACACAAATTTGCGGTTTCAAAGGGTTCTTCGTTTTGCGATAGAAGACGTTTGAATTTCCAGGCTTTTGCGTGACGCGGCATTTAGCTGGCTGCCAGGAAAGCTCTATGTGGGTTAAAAACCTTACAGATTTTTTGAGATTTTGCTATATAAACATTCCTTGTCTTAGAATAACTACTACTTTGGCGTTTCCATACAAAGCCTTACAAATTTGGATAAAACGTTTTTCTGAATATCTCGCATATGAATTATCGCAAAGACTTGATTCTTGGCGAGGCTGTTTGTATATTTATCTTCATTCTTTTCCCGATTCTGGCTGGACCTTAAGTATTCACTGGTTTGCATTTTTATTTTTGATGATGTGACAGTGAAAACACAGAATACATGAATAAGAGTGAAAGTGTATGAAAGGAAATGCCCAAAGGAAAATTGTGATGAATACGACGTACGAGGCCTCTCTTTAGTCCATGCCGGAGGCCAGTGAGTGGTAGCATTTGCACTTGAGTCTTTGTATTTATTATTTTTCAAGTAGTATGCCATCCAGAAGTTAATTTGGTCTTTCGAGATTTCGTAGGGATGGTGATCCAAAGAATCGACTTTGCAGGCGATACTACTGCAAGCTCAGTTCAGTGACGAACTCTATTCTCGATCTTTTTACGCCAGCGCCCTGAACTGCCCTAAGTGCACGGAGGCCCATCAACATTATACCCTTTGAGGCAAGTTGTTTTCTTCAGCTCTACTTTTTTCTTGCATAGATGATCTGCTTTTCAAGGAAGAGAAGTACGTAAATGACAGTTGCTTATCGACGTCTAATCTGGTCATCACAGGACCTCTGCCAGACAAGTTCGAGTACGTCAAGTAGAAGAGATGTTTGAACGCGGTCTTAAACTGCTTATTCATCAGACTGTAGATGATCGGGTTGAGAACAGAGTTGAAGTAGTGAAGACCTTTAGCAACCATTACAGCTCCTGCATCTATAGGACAGGAGCTACGATGTAAAATAAAATGGTTGGTTAAGTTCCTTGCATTAGAGAGCTTTAGATTTTAAGACAAGAACTACTACGAGTACAAGATATTCTCAATACTAAGCATAGTACTCGCGCGAGAACCAGTGTCATTTTGGCTGCAAAACCGTGGGATAGCCGTCGTCATTCATCTACGAGTTTTAGCAAAGATTTCGTAGTGACGGAAACAACTTATCAAATGTTAAAAGATTTACCATTTTGCGATCCGCATCGGGAGAGAGATTAACATCCCCCAATAAAGGTAACTGTGTGCCAGCTATTCTGGTGAAAAAAAAAATGTACTGAAGCATTCCGGGGTGTTTTTTTTTTACAGAACACGAAAACAGTTTTCAGTCAAACCTCGTACTCGTAGTTTCGGTAAAGGTTCTTGACTGAAGGACGTTCCATACCAACTAAGAGAAACAGCAGCATAAGTGCTGTAGATCGAGACTGGCAATTTAACGAACGCGAGGGATGATCCTTCTACCTAGGATAGGTTTTCTCCATATAAACTGTAAAGGAGACTGGTTGTGAAAGCCGGCAAATCTCAAGATAAGAACAACAGTGCTTCAGTTTACGTTGGGAACTCCCTGACGGTGCACAATCCTTTGCTTTCTGATTGCACAAATTGTGACGGAATAAATTAATGCAACGCTTTTATTAGCCAGTTTAGATCAAAATGATAGGAATGCTATTGAACGTTGAGCACCTTCGAGTTCGCAAAAATATAACAAATCAAGGAGTCTGACGAGCGTGTAACCATTCTATTCCATTAAATATTTGAAAGAAAAGAAAACATCTACTCACGGGCACAAAGCATGGTAAACGTTAAGAAAGAAGAACGGGAACCAGCATAAAACAAAGGCTCCCATTACGACTCCAAGCGTCTTTGCAGCCTTCAGCTCCTTGGGAAGGCAGAATCGTTTAGTCTTCTCGCCAATTTTGAAGATCATTTTTTTGGCTTGCGTGCGAGAAACTCTGAATATCATGATATATGCGTAGCTCATAACCAAGACAGGTGTAGCGAAACACAGTACGAAACTGGTAAGCTGGTAAACCTTAGTTGGTCCTCCCCAGAGCAATAGTTTTAGGATCGTCATAACAAGCGCAAAGAGCCACGCTACAAAAATGGCGACCCGGGCTTTTCTCGTCGTGACGATGCTGTGGTAAGTAAGCGGACTTGAAATGCAAATGTAACGTTCGATGCTTATGAGAAGAAGGTGGGTAATGGATGCAACACTGCACAAGATATCCATAGACTGCCAGATTCTGTGAAACCACGTCGAAAACAGCCAGTGCGGTCCTGCAAAACAAAGCAGTTTCTTGAACAATCTTAAATCCGATCAGTCCAACTTAAAGATGGAGTCCCTCCGTTAAAAGTGAGTTCAACTGTTTTTTAACCTCCCTCCCTCACCCACTCCTCCCTATCCTCATATTCTTAAGTATTTAAAAAGCCACATTACCAGCAACCAGCAAATTCTAAAACTTGGCATTTTGTCCGGTCGTCTCCCAGAGTGGTGGGAGGGGGGTGACTCCCTCATGAAAATTACGGGTTTGTTGTCGTCTCGCCTAGAGGCAGATTTTGGTGCCAATTAAGATATTCAGGACGGAAAGACACTACTTTTATCAATGAAGATATCAGTTTGAGTTGTACATAAAGGAATTCCTAAATAATATATAGATTTAGCCAGGGCTAAAAGCGAAGCTCCCATTAATAAATTAATGATTTAAATCAAACAATAAACTTGTAATCCACAAATCAGTTAACTTAAGGGCACATATGTGACTTTTTAGGGAAAGCTAAGGCTAAGTGATTTTAGACTGAAAAAAAATCTTTCATCGAATTGATAGCCGGTATATATACACCCAAAAAATAGCAATCATCGTCGATCACATTTAAGAGCCATAATAGCTCTTGATCACAGTAGATTGGGCCTGGAAAACGAATTCATGGAAAAAACAAATCAGGCCGAATTTTTTGCGTTCGACAACTCTACTTAAAAAAATCTTGCCAACAACTCTGGGAGCGTGTAAACCAACATTTCATACTATTTACGCATCACATCTTAAGTGAAACAGTAATATGAGGCGCTGTTTTTATCATACAGACCTCAGACAAAATGCAGTATTTCACAATTTTTCAAGACAAATTGCACTCATTCAATATTCAGAACCGTACGAAGCACGCGTGGGCTTTTAGCAAAACCGTTCAAAACATTTCCAAAATCACCTATACGGCCAGCCGGTTGTCACTTTTGACAAGCGCCAAATTTTCAGTGAACATTAAAAGAGTTACGCTTCAACATAATAAAGAATTTATTGTTTATTTTTTTTATCTAATGGTTTTATAACGATGTGCAAACGCGCGGCATTTTGAGTACTCCTGCAATTAAAGCGTTGTCTGTGAACGACTGAAAACAAACAGCAAAGCAATTGCAAGAGACTACTAACAATCAATAAAAGAAATGTAATTCGGTGAAACATTTACAGAGACAACAATTTTCATTCACGAAGACAAGTATTAAAGCGTCTCTAAAAATCCTGAGTCTTTACGCTTAAGCCTAAAGCTTTTAGCCGGCTTCCTGGTGTTTACTGTTTTCAGAGATGAACTCGAGGCAAGAAAATCGCTCACAGCTTTCTTTCTACAGCCAAAATTATAACTAAATACTTTTCGGAACGTTTTTTCATTCTATATGCGGAAAGAAAATATCGACTAAAGGCTTTTTAAAGCTCTGTAAGCTTATATATACTAGATCAGATCATTGTCTCAGATCTTAATACAAACGTGCATAAATTAGCCTCATAAACTGCGCTCGACTTCATGAAATTAGATATAAAAAAAACAAGCATATACTGTATACAATAATTACTCAGGCTTACCATTCGAGATGCAGCTCTTGAAAGCTATCAAGTAAGGCCAGAATCGCTTGAGGGACTTTTCAACCCCGCATCCAGCAAGGTGAAAAACGAAAACGATGCATCCGAAATCGGATTTCCAACTACAACCGGCGCATTTCCCAACCAAAAATTCAATAAACAAACCAGCCATGAATCAAAGAAGACTGTTGATAGCAGCAGTATTTCATTTTAAGCATCCAGTGGGAAAAGACAGTGAAAAACATCACAAGTTGCCAAATACTCTGTCAGCTTCAGCTGTCATAGTAAACAAGGTTCAAGATGCTGTATAAATTTTCTGCATGAACTCACCTGTCAAATTTTGACCAATCAGAGCATAAAAATTGGACGGTCGTAGAGCGTGATCAACGCGTGACTATGGTGAGAAAAGTGAAAAGCCTCTGTCTTCCCTGCTTGTATTTTTAAATGATTGGCTGAATTTTCGCGTCCGAGATCAGTTTGAAATCAAAATGTTAATAACGCGGGGCCATAGTGACATTAACACAACACTTTCTGTCATCATGTCATTATGTTGCTGCCGTTCTCTTTGCCTTTGTATTTCTCTTTCGCGTTGCCTTTGTCTGTTCATCCTAGCTCTGTCTCGTTAAGCTTGCCGGCGTTTTTCACTATAATTTTCTCTCCTTCTTCTCGCTCTGACTCTTTCTACTTGCCGACTTTCTTCGCTAAAATGTTGTCTTCTTCTTCTACTTCTAACGCGCTCTCTTTGGCGATTGTCTTCGCTTGTTCTACGCGTGTTGACTCTTGCTCTCTGCCGTTCAACTTCTCTTTGCTCTCTGCTTAAAACCTGTCATCTACACGCTAAAATCTCTCTGCTGTTGTTTGTTGACATAATAGCTTTCGTAAATTGTAATAAAAAGTTATAAAGGCTCTGTCGAAAAATCTTTTTGCTAAGTTGCTTTGAAATTTCTTTTTTCAAAACCAGTTGCGCGATATAATTGCGCGACGTTGCGCCATGCGATTTCTCGCCAAAAAATCTCTACTTTCCCCTACCCCAAGAGTCCATGCGGACTACTTTCCACTACCCGGAAAGTCCGTACGGACGGACGTACGCTGACGTCATGACCAAAATTTCTCGGATGGGTAGTTTATCTTAGTTATGGTGCTCCGCTCGCGCGCGCTTCGCGCGCGCAAGGAGCTCCGCTAAAAATAGCAAAATTCATCATACCACAATTCCTTGGGGTCTTATTCTAATCTTCCTACGAATATCCCGTCATTGTTATACGAAAGCCCGACTCTTCCCCCGGAGCAGACTTACGAAAGGTTGGAATTTATTTTGACACCATCATCGCTTTAGAGACAATATTGACTCCAGTTTATAAATGACGAAGTTCATGGATGATAGACGTAATTGTCCTGGCCTGTTGTGAAGTTGAGCCCCTATTTGAACGAAAGTCTAGTGTTCGAAACGTCAGCTTTCGATTTTTTTAAGGAGGCAGTCTGGTTAAAAACATTGTTTATCTATTTTTCGGCCCTTTTTCTTAAATATCTAGCCAAGAATTCATTCAATCAAAAAGTGACTTAACTATGTTGGAGTCCTTACTTCAATAAATTTTTCAATTTTTGTTTTTTAATGGATAAAAATTTGGGGAGGGGATGTTTAAACTTTTAGAGATATGAAAATATTTGATTTAGGGGTTGTTAAAAATCAAAATATGAAGTAAATAATTAGCAGACAAATACCAGATAGTCCACAACCACAACAAGGTGCCTCTGAGCCCAACAGAGGACTAACTGTTTACGTGTATTATACCTTTTTTACTGCAATTTATTTTGCTCCCAAATCAACATCATTTCCCTCAAAAACAACCAGTCTACCCGCTTAATAGTGGACAACTGTTTTTATCAAATCAGCTGATAAAGCGAAATTTTTGTGCTTCTCTCAAACAACGTTTCTGTAAGAAACCAACCACTTCATTCCTCTATTAGGGACCTTAACCAAGGACGACGGCGACGGCAGTGAAAACGTCGGTTAAAAAAAATGAATTTGCGTTCTTTCAAACTTAACTTTCCCTGGGGTTGAATTCTTAAGAATTTTATTCAGGTTCGACAAAAGGAAAATTCGTTGTCGTATGTCCACGTCCTCCATAAAACGTCAAATTAGGAGGTTTCACGTCGTAGTTGTGCAGTGGACGTCATTAAATGTACTTAAAAGCGTGATGCACGTGCAGAGCTGTTGTTTTCATCATTAAGCCCGTTGTTGTTTTGAAGTCGTCGTTGTGGTCTTCGTCGTAGTTGCTTAAGCTTTCTATTGTCTGTGGAAGACATGTCAGCTGCAGGGATCTCAGGGCGAGGACGAGATAATTGGAGCTCAAACAAAGACGTTTTTGAGCGACCCACGTCAACCGGAATTTTTCCATTTTTCCCTGTTAATATGCCTTGACGCTACCAAATTTGTTACCTAAGGGTCTTCACTGTCAAAGTCAGTGGCGATTTGCACAAAACTTTGGTCAAACTGGCAGCCCAAGAAATCAAAGAATGTGGTTGATGTGCGTCATTTAAAAACGTCGTTGCGTGAACTCCCTAAACTCTGTTGTCGCCTTATCTCTTGTCTCTGAAAGTGACTTCAGCTGCTGGGATCTCAGGGCTAGGGAAAAATAATGTCTTTTGTCTGTAACAATTCCTGTGTCATTAAGATCCCGAGTCCGGGTACCAATTACTGTAGTGCTTTGACTGTTGAAACTGATTATGGATCGTGGTCGCTTATGAGAGATGGTCGCTTGTGAGAGGTGTTGTCAAATTGAGGTGCAACTCAGGTTCAACCTTATATTAAAGAAAACCCATTTCTAGATATCGTCAAACATGTATTGATTAAATTAGGAGCCCATAACCCTGAGTTAGCAACTCTCACCCTAGGTCTATGTCAAGGCTTTTTCACCGACAGGTCTAGTTTTATGAAGATGATGGGAACTGGAAAAATACAAATTTTTAAACGTAGATATGATCCTCGCAGTGATGTTTGCAATTTAAGCAATTGCAAATGAACCCGAAAATAATTTCGGGACTTCAACGGGATTCGAACCCATGGCCTCTGCGCTATCGCTGCAGTGCTCTGCCAATTAGGCCATGAAGACACATACTTTCAGGGAGAATCTTTACCCGTGAAAGGAATGAAACATGAAGTTGATGTGACATGCGGAAATACAAATGTTTACATAAAGATCGATATGATCATCGCAGTGTTAGTTCCAATTTAAGCAATTACCAATATACCCGAAAGTTTACTTAGTGTTAGATACATTTTGTGGCACTTTCCCCGCGAAAATGAAAACATTGCTTCATCTATGAGCGCAATCAAAGTGTAACATATCAAACTAAAAGTCATTAAAAGGCAAAAGTAGCATTTTAAGGTCTGTAGGTTTTGCTGACTGGTTTGTGGGACTGTAGGACTGAAAAGATAAGCTAAATTCGCCCCTAAAAACTTCTTTAAATGAAAGTGGTTCAGTTCATCTCCTAACAATATTTTTTCAAATATTTTATCATTATTTTTTCCATTACTTGGGTAAATTATAGCTTGTCATAATAACTTAGTTCAAGTTAGAGTTATATATTGTATTGTATTTTTTTACTTAGTCTTTTGTAGGAAATGTTTTAATAAGTCTGTTTTCGTATCTATTCTACATTATTCATTGTTCATTGTCACAAACCTGTTTAGTTAGTTAGTTAGTTAAATTGTTCGTTAGTTGTTTACTTTTATTTCTTTTTTCCTCTTCTGTCTATTTTGTGTTTTATGTAGTCAATAAAGAATGAAATAAAAAATACTGAATTAAAAAATAATAATAAAATAAAATACAAACTTTGCGCCAAAATCATAAAAAACAAAATGGTCCGTGAAAACGCCGGGACACATGTACAGAGACGTTGCTCGCTCCAGATAATGAGCTACTGACTAAATACAAAAGAGAAATTTTTGCTGTAATGTTAAATACCTGTTAGTAGGTACACTGTCCATACTGGCATTGAAAACAACGCAACCAAGATATCCGTCACGGCAAGGGACACCACGAAGTAGTTCGTCACATTTTGCAGCTTCCTGAAAACAATAAATGCCCGGATGACAAGCGAGTTTCCGAGGAGCGTAAGGATTATGGTCGTGATCAACAGAAGAGTGGAGACCAATTTAATTGTGAAACTGAATGAGCCTTTTTCTGTCGAGGGCGACACTGTCGTGTTTAAAATCCCAGTTGAGGTGGAATTAGCCATCTTGTCTATAAAAGATTTTGTAGAGTCACCAACCTGTTAATAAACAAAAGAGGCATTTAGGGCTCATTAGACTGCGTATTCCTAAATTTTTACGGTTTCATTTTTGGTTATGCTTTGTTGATTCCTTTCGGTACTCTCTTACTTTGAAAGTTTGACATTTAGTTTTATTTATTTATTTATTTATTTTTGGGGGGCAGGGGGGGG